CTACACTAACAACCCCCCCCCCCAACACACACACACACATACACCTTTCATGGTAACTTAGACACCAGCAGACAGCCATTTACCAAAGCTTGGGAAGAATTCCTTGGGTACCATATATATCTAGTTGGCTAATAAAATAAAATAATAAAATAAAATATAAAACAAAATAAAATAAAAGCTCTCTCCAGCCTCGGCTTGGGCTAGTGAAGAGGTGGGAGGGGGGGAGACTGAGCGACTCCTCATTGAGTCCGCCATCCACAGCACACACATGCCCCCCACTTTCTCTTCCCTCGCACAGCCCCAGCCCTGTCCCCCACGCCCCTTCCTTACATTCCGCGGGGAGGAGGGCGCTGTTCGCGGAGCGAAGGGGAGCCCCTGAGTGTCTCGAAGGCCTCTCCCCACCCCCACTCCGTGTGAGTTCGCACTGCAAAGCTCCTTGGCATCCTTGCCTGGGTTGGGTGTTGGGAGCTCAAATTGCAGTTACAAACTGGCTGGCAGCCAGGGCCGCCTATTTAAAAGCGCGTGCTCGCCCGGAGCCGGTAGTCTCTTTGGAAACTTCTGCGGGGGTAAAAGAGCTAGGAAAAGCTGCGAAGCCGTGCGGGGTTTTTCCTCTTTTTTGCTCCTTCTAATTACCCTCTCCTCCGTTTGCATCCTTCTCTGGGCTTCACGCCGAACTTGGGAATTTCGAAGAGGTGGTTGCAGAGTGGGAGAAAAGAGGCGTTAGGGTTTGGGATTTTTTATTTTTTTTTTAACTTTCTTGATTTCAACATTTTCCCCTACCCCTTGCGGCTGCAGCCGGCGCCTTCTACCTGCTCCGCGGCAGCCGCGCGCTGCTAGCAGCTGAGGGTTAGAAAGGAGCAGGGTGTGCTTTAGATTTTAAACAAAATTTTTGAAGACAAACCCATTTTTCTCCCCTACCCCGTCTCCTCCACAGCCTCCGAGCTCTTTATTCCGGTGGTTGCTTTGGGGTGAACAATTTTTGCCCCCCCCCCCCTGCAGTTCTGACCAGGTCGGGCTTGGGGTTTTTGTCCGGCCCCACTCTCAGTGCGTGCACCTGGCGCTGCTCTTTTGCCCCAACCTGTTGCAAGTCTTTAATCCCTGTAACTGGGACTTGCTTGCAGGCACCCCAGCCCACCAACTCTCCCCGCATTTTGCAGTCGTCTGGGGAAGGGCACCTGCTCTACCTGCCAGACTTTTTTTTTAAATTTCTCCGGCTCCCTCCTGGCCCCTTTCTCCCTGCACTCTCGCTCTCCTACCCCGCCCCACGGTAAAGGGAGAGATTCGAGGAAGATGGTGCTCACCGCGGTCCTACTGCTGTTGGCCGCCTGTGCGGGGCCGGCCCAGGGCCTGGGCTCCTTCGTGCACTGCGAGCCCTGCGACGAGAAAGCCCTCTCCATGTGCCCCCCCAGCCCCCTGGGCTGCGAGCTAGTCAAGGAGCCCGGCTGCGGCTGCTGCATGACTTGCGCCCTGGCCGAGGGGCAGTCGTGCGGCGTCTACACTGAGCGCTGCGCCCAGGGGCTGCGCTGCCTCCCCAGGCAAGACGAGGAGAAGCCCCTGCACGCCCTGCTGCACGGCCGTGGGGTTTGCATGAACGAAAAGAGCTACCGCGAGCAAGTCAAGATCGGTGAGCGCGCTCAGGGTGCCAGTCAGTTACCCGGCGCACGGGCGGGGGACGGGGACGGGCTGGCCTCGCGCGCTCGGCTCGTAAAGTGGCTTCGAGCCGGCGTGCAGCCCGGGAGGAGGGCGGGGAGGGTCTTTGCACCGAGGAATTGGAGCCCTG